CGTTGTAAAACAAGCCAATTCACTTCGTGAACTCGGCAACCCGGTTACCGTTTGTTTTTTACTTCTGTTGTTTTTTTTGGCGGTAACCATAATGGTGGTCGAGTAGATCATGTTGTGCGGGGTGGAGAACCCTCACTCCGCGCAAGGGGGATGATCGCACCACGTTGTGTTAAAATGGTCAAGCACCCTCGAGGCAGTTACACAGTGCTTACAACTGTCTCTGGAAGTGAAAGCACCAGAAAATAAATTAAGTCATACGCAGCTGTCATCCGTACGCAAGGAAGTAAGCACAAGATGCCGAACACCCTTAGCAGGATGCAGCGCACCCTTCATGCGACTCGCCGAATATCTCACGGCGCTTCGCGCTTGGTGATGTGAGAGCCTGGTCCGGTGAGAACCCGGCGTGCTCCGTCCCGGCTTTGTAGGGATGCGAGGTCAAATGTCTAACGACCACGGCATGCACGACCATGAGTACACGCCCCCCGCCCCCCGGCGTTTGCCATCGGGGTTGGGTTTTCGTCCCTTGGCAACGACGTCGTATCACAAGCCAATTCACTTCGTGAGCTCGGCAACCAGGTCACCGTTGTTGTTTTGTTCCTCTGTTCTGCTTTGGCGGTGACCATAACGGTGGTCGAGTGGATCATGTTGTGCGGGGTGGAGAAGCCTCACTCCGTGCAAGGGGGAAGACCGCACCACGTTCTGTCAAATGGTCAAGCACCCTCGACGCAGTTACACAGTGCCTTAAACTGTCTCTGGTTGTGAAAGCACCAGAAAGTAAATTAAGTCATACGCAGCTGTCATCCGTACGCAAGGAAGTAAGCACAAGATGCCGAACACCCTTAGCAGGATGCAGCGCACCCTTCATGCGACTCGCCGAATACCTCACGGCGCTTCGCGCTTGGTGATGTGAGAGCCTGGTCCGGTGAGAACCCGGCGTGCTCCGTCCCGGCTTTGTAGGGATGCGAGGTCAATGGTCTAACGACTACGGCATCCACGACTATGAGTATCCCCCCCCCCTGACGCTGATCCTGTCCTACATATCCGGTACGCCGCCTGCCTGCGCAGACCTTCTCGCATGTCCCGACTGCGCAATCCATGGACGTCTCGAACGCGGCACTCCTCGCCGTCCGGCGATGGTAATGGCAAGGCGTCGGTGTCCGGGTCGGCCGCGATGTCCGTGGTGCGGGAGGACAAGGGCGAGACGAGGGTCGGAAACTGGAGCACGCCCGAGGTGTATGAGACTCCCCAGAGGTGAGAACAAGCGAGAGAGCAGAAGAGGAGACCGAACCCCGATTTATTGTAGGCGTTCGCGGTACCGACTTTCATGGTGTAGAGCATAAGCTGCAATAGGGCAACGAGATCAGTAGATTACGGGGGGCGGGAGGGGGATACTGTTTTTGTATGTACTGTTGGGCTATCACGGGGGCCCGGGACCTGTGTGATTCTCCATCGGGTTGCACAACTTGCAGTCACGTATCCACCCCTCCCCCCCGCGCGCTAGTACAGCACCAACCTCCCGCGTTTGTGCGAGGTATTCCTCTCATTGGTCAGGGTGTCAACCTTCTTTCTTACCCTCTCCTTTGCCCTTGTCTGCGATTTCGCCTGAACCAGGAGGAGAGCCACTCGGTCTGGTGTGGTGCCCGTGGTGGTGGATGTGTTGATGGACCCCGCGGGGATTCCGGTGACTCATAGGCACACCAGGTAAAGCACGGAGTACACTCATCCTTGGTGTTGTTGGAGATTGTATGTACGGGGTGGGCAGGGACGGGTTGGAACGGGTGGTTCCAAGCGTGCGACGTTAGTTCCGTTCGCAACAACGCCATAGCGATGGTGGTCATACGTGACCGTGCACCTGTACTTGCTTGACGGGAGGAAGGTTGATGCGTGTGGTTATTCAGATCGACATTCGTTCGTATTGCCTATTTCACTTTCACTTGATACACGTGAGGTTTCGATCTGGAGAGGAGTGTGGTGTTGATCGTTTGCGGAAGAGTGATGCCAAGTGTTGTGGTCGCCCTGGTATCTCCTGTACGACTTCGGTGAAGCCTAACCCATCTCAGGATTCGTAAACGTTCATGGCCTCTTGCTAGCCGGAGGCACCGTATATGGCGACACACATCTATGTTTTCTCTCATGTGTTCACACGCAAGACATGGAAACTGTATCAGCATTTCAATGATCGCGGCATTGCTCGAGCCTGAAGTCGTGGCTTAGCAGTTCCATGCCAAGTTCCGGCGCGACTCCTCGTCGACACCAACGTCCACGCCAAGCGGCAAGAGATGTCTACGGTAGTTCTTGGTGTGTTTTTCGGGCGGCGTGTTGATGACTATTTTTTGCTCGTGTTTTTTCATCCCTCCGCCTTGTCGGCCGCTCATGTCTCGCCGGTGCGCGCTGTCCGCAAGGTCGATGTCCAGTTCTTTGGAGGCGGTGGGTCGGGCGGTGCACTTCTCGGGTTTGGGTAAAGAGGTGAGGCGTTACGACGTGGAGAGAAGGGAGAAGTCGTCGACCGTTACAATACTGCTGTTGCGAGGGTATTGTTTGTCCAGGGGCACCAGCGGGGCGCAAGCCCCGCCGGCCCCATATGGCAGTGGACTGGCTTCCACAAGCAGCCCAGCAATCAAGTTTGTCGTCGTTGAGTGTGTGTTTTTTCATGAGTGTGTTGCCGTGCGGCACGAAAGCAGGCTTAGGCTTAGGCTTAGGGTGTACCTTTGCAGCCCTTGGTACCCCCCGATTGTTGACAGGGTGTCAAAGTTGCCCCCAATAGACGCTGCTTCAATACAGCGTGTGCCGGGTGTGTTCGATGCGCGTACGTTGCCGCCAGCAAGCTCATGGCGAGATGAACTGGGGGTGATCTGTCTACACAAACCAGCCCGCTGATGTTGGGCTTGTCTGTTTTTGTACAGAACAGTGGTATCCGGCCGCTGAGACTGCTGTGTCCTCAAGAGCCTGCAGATGTCGCAACGAGAGTTGTCCCGTGGCCATGCGATCACATGGTCGTTGCTTGCACGCATTCGTGTTTCGTCTTGTCCTGTCTTCCCTATGGTTAACTCGTGTCGTGTTTCCGGCGCGGTGGTGCTGTGTGATCCTGTGCTTGTCGCGTCAGGTGACGGATGCGGTGGCCAACGCGAGGCAGCTGGCCGCGACCCGCGAGAGGATGGGTGGCGCTGACGGTATGTCTGTTGCTTATGTGGGTTACCTGTTGGGCACCGCTGTAGGAATGAGGGAACATGGCAGCGAAGTGTCGAAGTGTTGCCGTACCACAGCAAAACTGTAGCACCCGTAGTTGCGTTCTAGGGGTTCAGTTCAGAACTGGTTAGACTAGTGAGCATCGCGAGGCATCCTTGAATGCCGGAGGGGTAAATATTGCGACTTCCTTGAAATTTTCGTCGTTGAAGCACGTTCCGCGAAGGCGGCTGCAAGGCGGCTGCAAGCCACACGTCGACACCGATACTCAATCTCAAAATGGCCGAGGAAATGTTTTTTTTTTTCTCGGGATTTTCGGAGACGAACTGCTGCACGTCGTGATATTCCCGATGGCAACCTCAGCCGGACTCTCTCCCCTATTCCGTGTTGCTCTCCCACGCTATCTACATTTCTGGCGCCGAAGGCCCGCGGTCTGCCAAGCTCAGCATGAACGAGTTTGGCATGTTGACGGAGGTGATCACCGAGGTCGGCGGGCAGGAGGGGAGCTTCGACATCGCTACCGGCGGGACGGGGCAGGGGTACAATCTCCTGGGTGGGGGGGGGGGG